TGAACAAGTACTCAATTACAGAATGAGTACTATGCTGATACAATGTTGCCAGATTATAAAGAAGCTTAACAGCTTATTGTCACTATTTTAACACTTCTTCTTAAGCTAATTATAATCAGTTGCAAAATAACAAATTTAATTCAATCCAAGTGTTTTTACAAAGCCTACGTGCTTTTGCTTACTTAAACATTTTATTAGTATATCTGCAACATTATTATTTGTAGGTACGTATTCTAATGCAATATCATTACATTGTACCTTTTCACGTATAAAATGATACCTTATGTCTATGTGCTTAGTGCGCTTATGATGGACTGGATTTTGCGCAATATGTTGCGCGCTTAGGTTGTCGCCACATATAGTCAACGGCTCTGTATCCTTTGACCATCCCATCTCACTAAGTAGCCTGCGTAGATAAACTGCTTCTTTGGCAGCCATGGACAAAGAAATATATTCTGCTTCAGTGCTGCTCAATGCGACAACGCTTTGCTTTGATGAAGTCCAAGAGAACGCACTGCCTGCCAGGAAAAATGCGTAGCCACTATAGGATCTCCTGTCCAGCCGATCGTTGCCCCAATCTGCATCTGCATAGCCTTTTAGTGGTTTGCCATTTTTACGGTATACTAATTTTATATTCTTTGTACCCGCAAGATATCTTAGAATGTGCTTTGCTGCAGACTGGTGTTCTCCATGAGGATTAGCATTTCTTTGTGATAATTTGTTTACAGCATGCCAAATTTCTGGTCGGCTCAAAACTGCTAAGTATATAAGCGAACCAATTAATGACTGATATTGCGTTATATTTACCTTTACACAAGTATCGTCGTTGCAGTCCACTTGAAAACCTGGGTCAAGAGGTGTGCTTACTGGACGGCAATTGCTCATGCCATACTTGTCCAATAGGCCTTGAATGTGCCTCGATCGCCGTCGCGTTGGATTTCCATGCCTAGGAAATAGCTAATGGGGCCACCATCGTGCATTTTAAAATTTGATGCAATCTTCTTCTTAATCACGGCTATGTCTTCTTCGCTGGGACACACTATGATTAAATCGTCGACGTAGACAGCGATGTAGCTGAATTGTTGTTGCTTTTGCTTGACGTATAAGCATGTTTCATTTTTGCATCTTTTAAAATCCATGCCTCTCAATACCTCATCGAGCGTATTGTTCCAAACTCGTCCGGATTGTTTAAGCCCGTAAAGTGCCTTTTCTAGTTTGAGGACTTTATTTGGATGCTGCTTGTCAATAAAATTCGGCGGCTGTTTCATGTACACAGTTTCATTAAGCTTACTATTTAAGTATGCGTTTGAAATGTCGACTTGATGCATATACAGCTCTTTTTCGGCAGCTATTGCGAATAACATGCGAATGGTTTCATATCGATTTACGGGAGAAAACGTTTCCCAGTAATTGACACCAAATTGTTGACCACAACCTTGTGCAACTAGTCGAGACTTAAATTTTTCAATATTACCATCTTTATCTCTCTTGATTCGGTAAACCCATTTTGAACCAATGGCCTTTTGTCCAGGAGGTAGCTCACACACTGACCATGTCTCATTTGCTTGTAAAGCGTCGTACTCTATTTGCATAGACTTTTCCCAATCCTGCGCATTTTGGCCATGTAATGCTTCTGCAACTGACTGCGGAGTTTCAATGTCTTCAATCTGATTAAGACTATTGATCAATTGGTACTGCTTTCTGGGCCTGCCTGGCTGACCTGTACGTATAATTTTTGGCCTGCCACGCCCATGTTTTACTACAGCTTCAACTTGTGGCAGCGCTACTTGGTCATTGTCGTCATCGTTGCCATCTTCTCCTGGATCGCTTGCGCTCACAAAATCCTCCTCTTCTTCTTCATTTGAGTCACTGTTGTACTCTTGCACCTCGGCAGGTTGCTCTGGGTGGTTTTTTGTAACCTCATGATTTGACTCAAACGGGATAATGTACGTCGTGAAGGTGTTTCTGTCTGAAATACTGCATGCATCAGTTGTTGCTATGTCAAACTCACCTTCAATGAATTTGACATCCCTTCTTTCAATAACTGTTCGCTTCTCGCGATCATATAGGCGGTATGCCTTTGCTGTAAAGGAGTAACCAACAAAAATGTACTCCTTGCCCTTTGCTTGGAACTTGCTTTTTCTGACTTTGTCGAGTGCAAATGCCCGCGAGCCAAATACTCTCAAGTGCTGTACTGATGGCTTGCGATCCTTCCATACCTCAAATGGTGTGCTTCCATCTAATGCTTTTGTGGGACATCTGTTGCGCAAATAAACTGCTGTTGCAACAGCCTCTGCCCACAAAAATTCTTCAAGCTTTGAATGAATTAGAAGACTTTTTGCCATTTCAACGATGGTCCGATTAGCACGTTCGGCCACACCATTTTGCTGCGGAGTGTAAGGAACTGTTAATTGCCTCTTTATACCGCACTCGATCAAAAATTCAGTGAATTGCTTATTCACATACTCTGTTCCATTGTCGCTGCGCACAGCCTTTATTTTATTACCTGTTTGGCATTCTACAAAAGTTTTAAACATTTTAAACTTCTCAAAAACTTGGCTTTTTGAGTGCATAAGGTAAACAAATATCTTGCGTGAGTAGTCATCAATAAAAGTTACGAAATATCGATTGCCTGCAAGCGACTTAACATTCATCGGACCACATACGTCTGTATGTACTAAGTCCAGTACTTGCTTTGAGACACGATTCGCTTTCTGTGGGAATGGCAATGCGCAAATTTTTGCTTTATTACATGTATCGCAATTTATTTCTAATTGTACATTTTCAACTTTCATACCACGCACCAGTTGCTTATCATTAAGCAATTTCAAATCCTTAAAATTCAGGTGGCCAAATCTATTGTGCCATTTTATGGAAGATGAATCAGAACTTTTTAGCATATGAACCTGATCAAGACTATGTTTGTAAACATACAAACCATTTTCGTGTCTTGCCCTTATTATCTCGTTGCCTTCTTTGTCTTTTATCAGCGCAATTTTCCCTTCAAATATGGTAGAATTCTCAAACTTTGCTGCAGCACTTACTGATAAAAAATTCATGCTTAAGTCAGGGACATATAAAACATTTTGCAGCTTTAATTTTATTCTATTGCAGTGCAACTCAACTGAATCGATAAACTTATTTGCGGCCAACATTATCGACGTCTTTTTATCAGCATACGTAAGGAACATGCTGCGGTCGCAGCACATGTGCGATGTTGCACCACTGTCAACGCACCAAAAACTCTTTTGCTTCTCCTTGACACACGTGTGCATTAAGCATAGAGACTTTTCGTCCTTTTGGCTCTTTTTATCATCCTTCTTTTTATTTCGGCAATCGCTCGCTCGATGCCCTTCTTTTTCGCAATTAAAACATTTGCCTCGGAATGGCTGCTTACTGCTATTCTTTCTGCCTTTGCTTTCGACACTGTTGTTGTCCCGCGGTCCATTATGTTTGTGTGTATACACTGCTTCTGGTGTCCCTATGCCGTCTCTGCTAGCTCTTTCTTGCTTTCGCGTGGCCTCTTCTAACATTTTAACCTTGACGACTTCGAATTTGGGCAGCTCATCGCGTGTCTCAATCGCTATTACAAAATTTTCCCATGTGTCTGGTAAACTGCTTAAAAACATGATGACCTGCAACTCGTCATTGAGTTTGATGTCTAATTCTGCCAACTTTTCAATTGTCTCAACAAATGAATTGACATATGCGACTACATCGTCACCCTGCTGCATATTGAAACGTATTAATTTTTGATATAATTGGACCTTCCTAATCGGTCCAACTGAGACATGAATTTCCTTTAGTTTTTTCCATACAGCTGCAGATGTTGGGCATGACTTGATATGCATCAACTGTGTTGGCTTCAGATTTAAAATTATGTAAGCCATCGCTTTTTGGTCGACACTAACCCATTTTTCGATATCCTCACCATTTCCTTCTGGCTTAACATATTTTCCACACACAACATTCCATAGGTCCGCCACCACCAAGACACTTTTCATGGCCATATGCCATACGTCATAATTGTCCTCACCAAGTTTTTCTATTTGATGCGACATGTTCATTTTGACAATTTCACCACGTTATTCTTCGCACGAAATAAACTTTTTAAAAATTTAACAAAAAGGAAGCTTTCAAAACCATAGACACTTTGTGTACTTATTTAACCGAAAACAACGAGACCTGGGCCCATAACCAATGTTGGGATATTTCTAGTGTGCCTAAGATGCACATAAAGAAAACACACGTAGTGGTTCGGTTAAACGTTTAATGGAAACTTCAAAGCATGAGTACAAAAATCTGAACAAGTACTCAATTACAGAATGAGTACTATGCTGATACAATGTTGCCAGATTATAAAGAAGCTTAACAGCTTATTGTCACTATTTTAACACATGTAGTAAAGGCAACCCCTTTAGCGATCTTGGAATCCGCAGCATTTCACTAAAGGATCCAATTTTTAGCAGGGTCGACTGCAGGGATTTTAGACCTAACATTTGAATTGCTATTGCAATGGGAATCCTGTCCAGCGTCTTTAAGTCTCTGTTTCACGTCATTAAAAAAAATTTTTGAAAAAGATCTAAGAAAAAATATGATAATTTCCTCACAGATAGCAGCACTCGACCAACACAGGGTCTCTAGTCACGCTGGTATCTTCGACAAAGATGTATAAGACCCACTAATTTTCCTTTGTAATTGTTATCCCTGTTATGGGATTTAGATTTTCCGTGGTCTTCCACCAACGCCATGGTGACATCCTATTTCCTTAAGGAATTAGCAAGAATCTGATAATCCATCCAAAGATTCTGCATGTCAACTTTTTTACAAGTCGCCACATATTCAAACTGCACATCTCTCCTAACGCAGAATCTAGGCTCTACTTAAAGGAAGACGCAGGTCGGAGTCCGCCGTCCCAATGCTATCAGCCACTCTTCTTTGTGAGAGTCCCTTAAAACTATACCTACAAATACATTAATATTATAACATAAAACACTGAATTACTGATAATATATAAAAACATTTTTATTATTTGTATTTTACATTATTGTCCTTGTCAGCTGTACTTTTTAAGCTTGGGCTGCAATATCCAAAGCGCGTCGCAGATCATCTATCAAATCGTCAGAGTCTTCAAGGCCGACTGACAAACGAATAAGAGCATCAGTAATACCCAACAACTTTCGGTCTTCAATAGGAACAGAGGCATGAGTCATTATTGACCTTAAATAAAATGAATTTAAAAAATACAGAAATCTGTTTATTAAAGAAAGAAGAAGGACTCAATATCCTTGTAGCGTTTAACCAACATAAACATATGAAAATAAACTGTAGTTTGCTTTAAATATCCTTGTAGCGGTTTACCAACATAAGCATATGAAAATAAACTGTACTTTGCGTAAAATAGCTAGACTTTTAAATAATTATTACAGCATACTAATAATAATATACTTTTTATAAGATTGGTACGCAACATTTAAACTACTATGATATTTAAATTTTTTGAGTAAATTAAAAGTACTCACTTATTTAAAAGTAAAATTGATATTAATTTATCTTAGTTTTTTTCTTCTAACAGTAATTTTTATTGTAAGAAGCGGGATTTGAATCTTGTAGATGGGAATGTTATATGCACTTTTATTTGTTCTTTACATAGTTATATCCCCTTTATCATAACGGAGAGGCAAAAAGAAATTTTCATACTAGTTCTCAAAGAAATATATTGGCATTGTGCATAATTAATTTTGTTGACCGCGAACGTAATTTCAGCCTTATTAATGCTAGAGACTATATATACTTGTGTAAATTGTTGAGCAATGTAATCGGTTCAAAGTGAACACTTGCTTTTTGTGGGCATATCCTTTGATTTTTATTGAAACCCTTGCGATTAATTACCAATTTATATATACCAACTTAATTGGTGAAATTGCTTTTGAAGTTTCTGCTGATAGGGCTGAATATTGCTACCGTGTGTAATCGATAAATAAATTACAATATTTTGGATTAAATGCAATCTCGCGCTCTCATTGATTTTATCAACCTGTGTTCAGCTAATTAATGGTAATGTTGCGATTTCTCACTTATTGCTAATTTGATTTAATTGCAAAAAGCAAATTACTGCCAATCAATCCAACAAATCATGTTGACTATTGCAAGCGTCTGGCGTGGGGAAAGCTAAGCAATTGACGAAGAAAAATGATACATAAAATATAAATATCTGAGGCACTATTTGTAACGTTAACTGCATTAAACCATCCTATTGTTTTCTAATGTTTTGCCCTACGAAATGGCTTTCATTGTAGCTTCGACTCGTGTAGGACGGTTGATGGCGGATGTTAGTGCGAACTTAATGATTAGAGCACAGCCTTGGTCACTAAATTCAATAGCCCAAAACTCTTGGGTGTACTTCAAGACATACAAAGGCTACTCCTAATGATTTGCAGTTTCCAAATGCTTTTTAGCCACCAAACTACAAATTTACAGCCTATATACGCATTACAGTGCTGTTTATAGAATTCAATAAGCAACCATTGCATGAATGTGTGTGTACATATATACTGAAATTCTGGCCGTTTGCGCTAGCTGCCGCAAATATAATATAAATATATGTATGCTGATGATCTGAAACTTATTGCCGTGATTATTGATCTCCTACAGCAGATGTTGCCAAAACACGTTTTCTCTAGTAACTTCTGTGTATCTCATCCGATCTTGATGAAATGAATGATGAAATTGCATTTAAATGGCCGTTCAAATTGGTAAGTAGTATAAATTGGTTTGTTTACTTGATTTATAGCTATATGGTAGTAGCGGGGAGGTGGTGATAACTATAAAATGAAAGATACTTTATATATATATATATATATATATATATATATATATATATATATATAATATATATATATATATATATATATATATATATATATACTATTCTAGAAGCTACATTTTTTATTAAACAAATTCTCTAAAAAAAAGGACTTTGATATATATTTTTATCGATTACTTTAAAACGGCGTAAGTCATCGAATATAGGAAGCAAACTCGTTCTGCGCGGACACTAGGAGGACCCACAAATTGCAAGTCTTTAGCTCTTATAGGTTCTGAGATTCTTGCGTTCATACATACGGACAGACAGTCGGACTAATCTAGAACACATATACTTCATGAGGTCGGAGCTGCTTCCCGCGCAGATCGAGTTTGTTTCCGATAATCGATAACTTACTCCGCTTCCAAGCAATCGATACAAATAGATATCGATATCCTGTTTTTTGGCAATTTTGATAAAAAATAAAAGCTAGAGTCACCAAACTTGCCATATAGCTTCTAAAACAGAATATATATGAATTTGATGTTGGAAGAAGAGGGTTCAGAGTATCCCCTAGTCGGGAGCTCCCGACTAGAGCCTCTTACTTGTTGAAATTATTACTTACGGTAACTCAGCTAAACTCTCATATCCGCCAAGACTTTCTGCTAATGTAAATAATTTAAGAGCCTTTAAGAATGCTGTAGCATGCTTTAAAGAGCCTTTTATGTAAAATGAAAACACCCCGCTATAGCCATATGTCTGTTTTAGAGCTATAGAGTGATGTGGATGCGATTCCAGCGCTGGATGTAGTACTTTTTCAACGAAAGCATGTGATTCAAGAAATTTCGCTATTGAAATTCCATTTTTTGGTGTTGTCTCATACGTAATGAAAGTGTTTTCAGACTACGGTTAACCTGATAGCAATCAAATGGAGATGGAACTATACCAACCGCTGCAAAAGGTAAGAAAATAAATTAATATATAAGTCTTTTGCATACACACTTTCATCAACAAACCATTTTGTAAAAATTTTAATCTTGTATAAAGATTTTCACAGTTCATTGTTATGCCACCCATAACAACATCAGTATGTCCATTCATGTATTTTGTTAATGAGTAGCAAACTAAATCAGCTCCTAACTCAAGCGGCCTTTGAAAATAGGAGGTCAGGAATGTGTTGTCGACCGCAACAATTATGTTTCCTTTTTCATGGCATATTTTTGCAATGGCTTCGATGTCCGCAACTTTGATTAGTGGGTTTGTCGGCGATTCTATCCAAACTAGCTGAAAAGATAGTTATAATTAAGTATTTACTAGTGTTTATTATTAAATAAATCATTCATTAATGTATTAAGCAAACACGGTGTTTTTTTATTGCGGAATTGCTATAATAACTAATTTTATTTATTTATGTACTTGTTTTATTTTGCTTTTTAACCGTGAACCCATTGAGAATGTGTAAAAACACAGGTAGAATGAAACATCTTGGACCCCATAATGTATACATATATATATTCGCATGTATGTCACAGCTAGAGACTTGTGCCCGCACGTACGATTTAGAAAATCGATAAATGTCCCCGTTTCCGAGCCATTGAGAAAAATTGAAATCTAAAGGCAAATCTCTAAATATCAGATCAGGCATCTTTCATTTTAAATATCCCTGCCTCTGCCACTTTACTATAAATAAATTAAATAAATCAATTGACATTACCCACCAATGTAAGCGACAATTTTATTGCTTTTGTCTATTTGCGAATATACGGATATTCTATAGCACAATACTATCTACTGCTGAACATGTCATTAATATCAGACGTTATTAAAAAAAAAGGATGGTTATTTTGAGATGTATTTGCGGCAGCTACGCAATTCGATTGTGTTCTACGCTGTGTGTATATGCTGCTAGTTTTATCCGTTTTTAGTTGTCGAGTAGAGATGTTGGTAAGTATTTGCAGCCAGATACGGCTTCGAGCCAATTGGGAAAACTCAATTTTAATATTTTTATTTATTACTGCTAAAGCAGAGCTCATAGCGCGAGCTGTATTTGATGTTGGTAGAACGAGCTTCAGAGTATTCCCTATTCAGGAACTTCCGACTAGAGCTTCTTACTGGTTTTCTTTGGTAAAATTAAATAATTAAGCTAATTATATCCTGGACCCTATAAAAATGGGTAAAAAGGGTATATTGTATTTGTGTAAAATTCACATGTATGTAACAGGCAGAAGAAGCAGTTCCGGCCCCATAAAGTATATATATTCTTGATCAATAGCCCAGTCGATCTGCCCATGTCCGTCTGTTTGTCCGTCCGTCCGTCCGTATGTATGAACGCAACAATCTCACCTATAAGAGCTAGAGACCTGCAATTTTAGCTGTAGGTCCTCATTGTGTCTGCGCAGATCGAGTTTGTTTCCGATAATCGATAACTTACTCCCTTTCCAAGAAATCGATAAAACTCGATATCGACATCCTATTTTTTGTGCAAATTGGGTAATATTAAGAGCTAGAGTCACCAAACTTGATATGTTGCTTCGAGAATATTATATATATATATCAAGTATTTCATTTTATGCCTATCGCCACCTCCCCGCTACCACCGCAGGGCTATAAATCAAGTCAATATCCCAACTTATATTTGCCACCAAGTTAACCCACAATTTTAATTCAATTGACTTTTTGTTTTTTTTTTTTTTTTTTTTTTTTTTTTTATGGTTTAAGTTACTTTTATTTTTGCTAATTTTCTGTTACTTTTCACTTTTAGCAACTTTTATCAGCGTGAGTTTTGGGTAATGAAAGCTTAAGTTAAATATTTACAATGTGTATATATATGTACATGTTAATTTTGCTTCATTATAGTCGGCGTTTGGCCAGGTCTATAGGATAACACTTTTAAGCCTCCTTCTTCGTCTCCTTAGCAGGTTTCTTGCCAAGACGTTAGGGTGGTTGCGGAGCTTACATAAGTGACTTGCTGTTTGTTGATTAATAAGGTCTCCTATCATAGTAACCTTAAGGTCCTTTGCAATGTCTCGTGTTCGAATATACCATTCGGCTCCAGTTATTTTGCGCAGGGTTTTGGCCTGAATGATGCGAATTTTGTTCAGGTGTGTTTTTGCAAGAATATATATACAGTTCAGGTTCAGGGTATAAAAACAAGTAAGAGCTTCTAGTCGGGAGCTCCCGACTAGGGGATACCCTGAACCCTCTTTTTCCAACATCAAATGCATATATATATTCTATTTTAGAAGCTATATTTCAAGTTTGGTGACTCTAGCTCATATTATTTACCAAAATTGCCCAAAAAACAGGATATCGAAATCGATTTTTATCGATTGCTTGGGAACGGAGTAAGTTATCGATTATCGGAAACAAACTCGATATGCGCGGGCACTAGAAGCATCTACATCTAAAATTTCTCTAGCTCTTATAGGTTCAGAAATCCTTGAGTTCATACATACGGACAGACAGACAGACGGACATGGCTAGATCGACTTGGCTATTGGTGCTGATCAAGAATATATATACTTTATGGGGCCGGAGATGCTTCCTTCTGCCTGTTACATACATTTGGATTTTGCACAAATACAATACACCCTTATACCCATTTTTAATGGGTTCAGGGTGTAATTAGGAAATATATACTCTCCTCGCTCTCTCGCGCTTTTAACCTGTGCTTTGATATTGTGTACGCTCTTAATAATTTCTTACTTTACACTCTTCTTACATTTGGATGCGCTTGTTTCAATAGAAACACATAATAATAGATCAAAAAAATGTTTGCTTTAGAAAAACATGCCAAGGTGATATTACGGCAAGTCAATCAAGAATGCCTTGTTGCCTATGTGATAATGTTGTGCATTCTAAATGTGCCGGTCATACAGGCGAAGGGGGATGCTATTTCCAACGTAATGTTTTGCAATATAGTAGCGAATTGTGTTGGGATTCTGATGGAGATATACATGCGTTTATGCGGCAGACCAGTATTGTCTTTATGGGTCTGTTCGCGTAAACAAGTTCAGATGCGCAATTTGAAACATCAGTACGAAAAAAATCAATCGTTTTATCGTGTAGTGCAGAGCAACAGAGCCCATCGTCCGGAACACCGGCCGTTTTAGAAACCACAGCTGACAGTGTTCCCACTATCACACCTGCCTAAGCCTTAGTGAGTACTCCACAGAAAAAATATATTTTTGGTTTCTGGCTTCTTCATTTTTTCTCCTCATTGCTCATCGGATGATGCAAGCATCTTAACGTGTTGGCCTGCATGCAGAATCTGATATTATTGATTTACTAGGACTCGGCTAAAGGTGGCTATTTCAAGTTCCTAAATATTTACTTCCAAATACACCACTTAGATTGTGTCGAGAAGAAGCTAGCTGTTGAATTGTCTCTTTCGTCGAAACTCCATGTGCTTCCCATTTCAGAACTGGAGCTTGTGGATGCAAATGCATTTAAATCTAAATCCTGCTTACTATTTGATCAAGACCTCTTGGTTGTTAATGACGGCTTTAATCTCCCACATGTCGATTGGTCATCACCAAAGTATTCAATCTTTCTATATTCTTTATGTCACATGAGTTTATTGATGGTCTACATGAGATGTCTTTACCGCACGTTAGTCGGGTGCATAACATAAGAGAAAGATCTCTTCATTTGAGCTTCGTAGTACATTCGTTCCAAAGCGTTGTGCACAGGATTAAGCCGCTTTCACTTCCTGAGACCCCTTTCATCCAATATTGGGTTTGGTCATTGATCTACCAGCCCTTGCAAGGCTCAAGGAATCGGAATAAGCTGATCATGTCCATTGTTTTGGTAAGCCTGATTTTCATTATTTTCATAAATTTTCTTATTCTGCAAATCAATTGGCCCAACCGCACAATTGTGCAGACATTGATGTTGCCAGTAAACTGTTTTGTGGTGCCCTATACTTTAATATTTGGGTCCCTTTTGATTACCCAGCGAAGTCTGATAGGCCATCCTGGATCTTAAGAGTCGACGTGTTATGGAAATATAAGAAATCGAGAAATCAGAGTGAGTTCTCCCGTTATGCAGATGCGAGATCAAAACTTTGCTACGCAACATTATATATGCTTTAAGGATTACCTTCGCAGTTGTCACCCTCACTGTTCATATTATCCTAAGCATTTATTTTAATTATAATAACTCCAAACGTTAGACATCTATTTTACCATCTTTGGTTAAGTTTGCAGTTGAGCGTGAGACTACGGAACCAGAATCGGCATTGCCGATCTGCTTTTTCAAACTACCGACTCCTCCAGTGGGTATAATAAAATTCAGCCTTATCAGATACAGAGGTTAAAGTGAATCTCATGCAGTAAATCTGATGTCAAAAACTGTAGAGGTATTTCCAAAATTATCCGATATCGCCACAGCTCAACGGCAACATTTATGTAGCTCTATTATATGACCATCCCAGTAGCGTAGATGTGCAACTACTAATCTTTTTGTGATTACTTCCCTAGCAATTTATAGTTTTAAGTAAAGAATGCAGACTGATAACATCTATAATTTTTTTAAGTAATGCTTTCGACTTCGTTATTCACTCCTTCTGCCTTCTCGGCTTCTCAGTAATCTTCTGAACTGGATTCTTTCCAGAAATTCGGTTTTTAAATGTATTCAGGTGTCACCTACGTTAGTCAACTTGGTCCGCAACTCTTTACTTCCATCAATGGACCCTCCGTCCAAGCAACTTAAAATTTAACTTTAATTTGAGAGACGTATCATACAAACGCATAGTTCAGGCAGATATGAATTTAAATGTTAAAATGGAAGACAGCAGACTGCTAAAAATATATCCAGCGAGCAGCAAAAATGGTAGCAGCGCTATGACGTTAAAAATACGAAGCCAAACAAGATTCAAATAGATGATTTGGTAGTCATTGATTTTGTTCCAGTGACCTCAGGACCCTAATTTAAGGACCATATAATTAATCAAGGTCTTGGGCAAAGACCGTTACATAATTGAGGATCTTTCTGACCATTCTGTATCATAACGACGCAACTGCAATGTGATCTAATCAAAAGAAGCCATAGTGTGCCTTAGCTCCAAACTTGGATATCAGCGAGAGGGTGTACAAAGAAAGCGACGCGTCAGGAGAGGCTTAATGTCAAAAGACTCATGGAGTATAATACATATGTTGATTGCTAGCAATAAGGAATAAAACTATCGATGATTAGTAATTTTGAAAAAACTTTTTGAAAGTAAGTATACAGCTTAAAGTTAAAAAATAAATAGTAAATAAATAAATTCATGTATAAAAAACCAC